CTGGCTGTTCTTGCAGAAAACCCAGGTTCAAATCCCAGCACCTACATGGCAGCTAACAACTGTCTGTAACTCCAGTCCTAGGGGATCTGACAGCCTCTTCTGACCTCCAGGGGCATTGTACAACATGGGTGCACTTACCTACATGCAGGCAATACAGGCATACACATAAAATAAAAAATAAAATAAATTTTTTAAAAAAAATATCAAAACTTCATGATGTAGTAGATAGGGTCTGACCGTAAGAAAACATTAAGACACATGCCCTTTAAGAAAATCATCAGGCATACCAAGGCCCAGCCATGTCCAGGGTCTAGCTGGTCCCACCAGCCCCATTTAAGCTCGGTAGTCACTCTGAGGTCAGACCAATAGTCTTCCACTAATAAGAGCTGGCCATGTCACCCAGGCGACCCACACCCAAGGCTGTGGCCAGGACACACAGACAGACATGCACACACAGAGTCCACTGTGCTCTCCTCACTCACCAAGGCACAGGTCAGGAGCGCCAGGTGACAGCTGTCCTCAGGGGTGTCCGACCTGAAGGGCCTGGAGGTGAAAGACCTGAAAGAACACAGTGCATCAGATTCAGGGAAGCCAACAGCTATGGAGGAACCTTCCCCACCAACACCAGGAATTCAAGTCAATACCTGGACACCCCCCAGCAGGGGAGGGGAAACAGGGCCACCATGACGTGGCTTATAATAAATGAACCAACCTGAGACAGTCAGCGGTCATATTCCAGAAGGCCACGTCCCTCACCTGCAGGCACTTGTGCAGGGGAGGCAGGCCATACCTGCCCTGCACAGAATGGCCCTCCCGGCCCCCAAGACTGTCTTGCCTGGAACCCCTGCCTCGTCCGATTTGAGCGCTCTGACCCTTCCTACCTACCCCCCAGTACTGAGCTCCTCTGCCTTCTGCCAGCCGTGCTGTAGCACAGGCCAGCTGCCAGGGATCAGCACCGCAAAACCCTGTTCACTCATTTTAAATTGTGACAAAACGCATGTAACGTGAAACTGACCACCTTAGCTGTGTTTGGGGCATGACTCAGTACCACGACTCACTTGTGTGGCTGTGCAGCCATCAGCACGATCCACTTCCAGAACTTTCTCATCTCCCCAAAGCGTGGCTCTGCTTTCCCCAGCCTCCCAGCTGCCACTTCGCAGCTCCACCAACCTGACACTCTAGCAGACTCTTGTAAGCAGAACCGTGTGTCAGTCATCTCTTTGTGATACTTCTCACGTGTTACAACCTCTTTCATGCTTATGGCTGAAGAGCATTCCAGGGATGGATGCTGCAGACAGAATGCCTGTGTCCCAGCCCCCCAAATTCACAGCTTCAAGTCCTGGCACTCGAGACAGCACAGGAGGTTTTGGGGGTTGTGAGGCTTGGTGGCCTTACGAGAGGGCAAGCACCAGCTGACATCTGTGAAGAGCCAGTTTCTCTGGTTGGGCTGGAGAGCCTGTGGTAACCTGATCTAGCAGCCCAAACTAACCACACAGCACACTTTTGTCTATTAAGTTATTAAGTCTTATGTGGGCTTTCATATGGCCTGTTCCTGTCCTAATGTGATCTGAAGTGGAACAAAGGTGGTTTCTGCATTCCCGACCAGGACTGTCGTTCAGGCTTTTGTTTTTATGGTTTTCTTTCATAGTGCTGGAAACTGAGCCCCAGGTGCTGGCAAAGGCTCCACCACCGAGATCCGTCCTTAGCACTTAGCTCTTTTTGGAAACAGGGTCTCAGTGTATAGCCCAGGCTGGCTCCAAACTCACCAGACAGCCCAGGCTGCCCCAAATGCATGATCCTCCCGCCTCACCCTCCTGGTGCTGGGACTACAGCACATCTGGCCATCTTGCAGTATTTCAAGCTGCCCTGCATTGTCCTTGGTCTGCTCGGCCCCTGAGGAGAGGCCTTTCCGAAACCTTGAGCGCTGATCCTCGTGGTAACAGCGGCTTACCAGGCTCCTCTGGCACCTGCACTGCTTTGGCATCCTCACAGGGGTGGGGGGCTGTCTGGTGCCCCACTGGGGGTCCCCCACGGACTCTGGAGGGGCCTCACAGGGGATCTGGGGGGCACCCTCGCTGGGGGCCATGCAGGGGTTTTTCTGCTTCTGCAGCCCTGGGTTAGCAGAGCTTTCTGAATATAAGTTTTCATCAGATTTGGAAAACTCCCAGACTTTAAATATTTTATTATTTTTATTTTATGTGTATGCATGTATTGCCTGCATGTAGGTAACTGCACCCATGTTGTGCAATGCCCACAGAGGACAGAAGAGACTGTCGGATCCCCTGGAACTGGAGTTACGAACAGTTAGTTGTTAGCTGCCATGTGGGTGCTGGGATTCGAACCTGGGTTCTGCAAGAACCACCAGTGTTCTTAACTGCTGAGCCATCTCTCCAGCCCCCCAGGCTTTACTTTTTCCCCACCACCCCTCTTCCCAGAATCAGTCCCCTGTGCCACCCCATCTGATACAGTCCAGTGTTCTGTTTCTCTCAGTTACTCTTTCAGGTCTCACTTTTCTACGGCGTCGTGTCTTCAGGCACACCCATCTCTTCTGCAAGGTCTAACTGACCATCGACCCCAGCCCGTATATTCCTCATTTGAGTCTGTTGGGTATGTGCAAGTGTTTGTGTACTTACTAATGTGTACACATGTGTGTGTACCTGTATGTGGCGTGCAGAGGACAACCTCGGGTGTCATCCTCAGAAATGCCACCCATCTCCTTTGGGACAAGATCTCTGACTGGCTTGGAGATCAGCAGTCAGGCTGGGCTGGCTGGCCAGTGGGTCCCTGGCGTCCTCCTCTCAGGCTCCCTAGAGCTTTGGTTGCAGATATACTGTCATACCATTCTTATGCGGGTTCTAGGGACTGAAGGCAGGTCCTTATGCTTGCAAGACAAGCACATTACCAACTCGCAGGGCCATTTCTCTATGGTGCTGTCTCTTCATCGTGTCCCTGATCCTATCATTGAACACGGGGAACACTGCCATCACAGCACCCTGGCCTCTGAACCGTCAGCACAGATGTCGCTGCGCTGTGGCAGTTTCAGGGACATTTTTTCCTCTTCTCAGCGGTTCAGCTGCTGAGTTTGGGTTGGCTGCTGGACTCAAACTTGATGTTAGACGCTAAGTTGCTAAGATCTCCAAATGCTGAGGTAAGTCCTGGACAGCCAGAACCCCAAGACCAAGGCCTCAGAAGGTTGTGAGGTCTCTGCCCTGGCTGCTGAACCCAGACTTGACACCAGGCACATGAATCCTAAGAATCGCCCAGCCCAGCCTGCTCCAGGGCCCTTTCTTTCCTTAGCTCTGGGACACGGCTCCCCCCGTTCTCCAACTCGGCTCTGAGGGCTCCTCCCCTCTTCTGTCCTCAGCAACTGTAACCTACTCTGTCTCCACCAGGTCTGAGCTCCCTGTCTCCAGGCCAGGCCTGAAGCTGTGAAGTTGAGCCCTGGGTGCTGGGTCCCTTCCTCACACCTCTCAGTTCCTGCACAGCCACTGGGATACCTGCAAACTGCAGCCGCACACACTGTGTTTGGGTTTCTGGATGATCGAGGTAGGACATGCGGTCTGGTCCTGCTGGTCATGGCTAGAGCAGAAGATGGATCTAAAACTCTAATTCAAGGTCTCTGTGATGCAAGGCAGATATTCCGAGGCCAGACAGACCCCAGGCCAGGAGAGGCCTGGCTGCTGCCCATCCATGCACAGACATGCCGTGAAGAATGTGGCCTTTGCCCCTTTCTGCTCTCAGCTCTAAGGAAAGGTCTCATTGGGAAGACACTTTTTATAGAAGGGGACAGAGTTTATCTTCCCTGGTAATTCAGAAGGCAAACCCACTGTTTAAGAAAAAGAACACAACACCCCAAATCTGTATCATACCCCAAAGACACTTTCCGGATGCTCAGGCCTTCCTCTTCTCAATTAACCCTCCCTCCCAACTTATCCAACACTCAGCTCACCAGCATTCAGTCAGGAGTGGCTAACCCCCCTTCCCCTTTTCTCCCCAGCCCTGCTCAACTCCCAGCCAAACCTGGGCTGTAGCAGAGACAGCGGTGTGGTGAGTGGCATTCACAGGGTCTGAAAAGATGGCCATTGCCCCTCAGTCACAGTGCAGACAGGTGTGGTGTGGTGGGCAACAGACGCATGGAAGGAATGTCAATGTGCAGCTGTCATGAGCAGCGGGCAGCCCACACCCTTCCTCTCCTGCGAGGGGGGGGTCCAGAAGGACAAGGGTGTCACCGGTAATTGGCCACTGTGGGCACACACCCGCAGACCTTTATGTTCTAGACACAAGTCGCCGGTCAGGTAGTGATTCACAAATACTTTCTCCCAGTCATTGAGTTGTCTTTTCACATTTGATGGCACTCCTAGAAGCATTGCAATTTTACATTTTAAGCTTAAAACCAGCCAGAGGTGGTTTGAATGAGAATGTCCCCCATGGCTCGAAGTACTGCACACTTGGCCCCAGTTGTGGCTCTGTTTGGGGAGGATCAGGGGACCTCTGGGAGGTGTGGTCTTGCTGAAGTCAGCACTCACTGGGGAAGGCCTCTGGCCACGCCCCATTTCCAGTTTCACTCTCTCTGCTTCCTGTTCCTATTTGAGGATGTGAGCACTCAGCCTCCCAATCCAACCTTCTCCTGCCATGACCCCCCTACCCCGCCAGGTTGGACTCTTTTTGTTTGAGACAGGGTCTCCCTGTAGCCCCAGCTGGCCTGGAACTCACTACGTAGACCAGGCTGGCCTCGATCCCACAGAGATTTACCTGCTTCTACCTCTCCAGTGCTGGGATTAAAGGTGTGTACTACCATGCTGACCCATGATGGACTTTTTTTTTTCTTTTTGGGCCAGGGCCTCCCTGTAGCCCCAGCTGGCCTGGAACTCACCATGTAGACCAGGTTGGCCTTGAACTCACAGAGATCTGCCTGCCTCTGCCTCACAAATGCTGGGACTAAAGGCGTGTGCCACCACATCCAGCCCCATGATGGACTCTTATCCCTCTGGAATCATAAGCCCAAATAAACTCTTCCTTTTGTAAGTTGCCTTGGTCATGGTTTTTATTCACAGCAACAGAAATGTAACTAACACAAGACTGATCACCTCTCCCAGGAGAAAGACCTGGACCCAGCACCTCATGTAGAAAGCTGGAAGGCTGGAGAGCAGAAGTAGCATCAGTATCCAAGAAGGACAGGACTGCACCTGGAGCTGCTAAACAGCGATCGTTCTCTGAGGAAGCAGGAAAAACAGAGCCCTTTCCACCCACAGCAGAGTCCACCTAGAGGGGCTGACATCCAACCTGTGTATCCAGTGTAGGACTGTCAGAGAAACAAGAGATAAGAGATAAAGAATGTGGCACATGCAAATCTAGAACGAAGAGTTTAGCCATCGTCATCATCACAAGCCTAAAACTGAAAAAGGCGTGTTGGTACACACCTTAGTCCCAGCACTCAGAGGGCAGAGGCAGACATATCTCTGTGGGATCCAGTCTGGTGTACATAGAAAGTTCCAGGCCAGCTGGGGCTACAGAGGAACCCTGTCTCCAAAAAAAAAATTTGA